TACTGATGAAAATGAAGAATTGATAATTAATGAATCTAAACTTTCTAAAAGATAAAAAAAAAATAATATAAGTTCTATTATAATTATTATTGCTACTATTAATAAAACTAAAGAAAAGGTATAGAAAAAAAATTGAATTATATTGTTAAAATGTGCAAATTGAAAATAAAAAAGCAAAAATAGAAATTTGAAAAGGAGAAAATAAAAATGGAATTTGATTTAAAATTAAAAGAAATAGAATTTAAGAAAAATTCAAATTAAATTTATTTTTTTAATTGTCACATAACATTCGTTGTATAATGTTAATATTTATAATAAAATATTTTACGTAATATTTATTGATAAAATATTCATATAATATTTATTGATCATATAAAATATATAAAATATTTGCATTTTTATAAACAAAAAACAATTTGTTAATTAATTTTTTTATATATTATAAAAAAAATTATTATTTAATTTATTAAATAATTTGATTCATTATTTGCTCTTTTTTTCTTTCTCCTGCTCTTTTTCTTTTTTTTATTTTAATCTGTAATATTTCATTATCATTATTATCATTATTACTATAATCATTTTCTTCATATAAATCTTCTATATTATCATTACTTAATTTTAAAAAGTTATGTAAAATAATTATACACTCAATTAATATAACTGTAGTAAAAATCTTTTTAATATTTAAATTTTTTAAAGAAATAAATCTATTTTTAAGTCTACCAAAAGTATTTTTAATTATTACTGTATAAGAAATGAATTATATTAAATTAAATATGTGAAAAAATTTGAGAATTTGTAAAAGGTTTAATTAAAAAAGTAGATAAAGGATATATTGAACTTCTAAGCAAATATTCATCTTCTTTGATAATTTTAAAAATATTTGATAAAAATATGAATTTTTATATACTTTAATATTATGAATTGAACCAGGCCATCCAATTTTATAATCTATAAATATATCATTATAATTTATAATTCCTTGTAATTGTATAGAATATTTTTTTTTCTATTTTAATATATTTTAGGTTATTTTAATGAAGTATTTTCTAATATTAAATGTCTTTCATCTATTGTTCCTATTATATGATCATTTCACTAATATTTTTAAATCCTTTATATACATTTTGCTTTGCTTTACCTACTAGCCATTTAACTAAATTTTTTTTTAATGAAAAAATTGTAGCTATTATTCTCTTATAATATAAATAAATAATTCTTTCAATCTTAAACATATTTCAAAAATATTTTTTTTAAAACCAATTCTTTTTAAAAAAAACTGCAAATTGTAACTCAACAGAAGCTTGAAGATTACTATTTTTTTTTGAAAAATTTAATGAGTATATAAAATTAATACAAGTTTTTGAAAATTATAAGATTCTATTCTCATTATTTTTTTAAACCTAATATCATCATATTTTAGTAAAATATAATCATACCACTTTTTTGAATTTTCTACATAAATTTTCTCTTTAAAATATTATGTTTCAAATAAAGAAGTTAATCTAAGAATTACTAATTTATTTTCTTTTTTACTTGAATTGTCAGAACCTTCTTCCTCTTTAAGTAAATTTATTTTTTCTGTATCTTGAAAAGCTTTAACAATATAAAAAGATAATAAATTTTCTATTTATTTATGTTTAGACATTTTTTTTTAATTTTTTATTTTTTTATTGATTAATCTACTATTAACATGCAATCTTTTCAGATTATAATTATTAGACGCAGTATCAGAAGGTTAACTTTTTATAATCTACATAATAATTCCAGTTAGTTTATAAAAATCTTAGCTAATTTGCTACTAGTTTATCAATTTAAATTAAGTTTATTAGACGTGAGTGGCTTTAATTACAAGTTAAAAGTTATCACAGTAAGTTCAAGAAGAGTTTTAGATAAGAAATAAGAAATACTTTATCGAAGTAAAAGGAAATAACAAAATAAAAATATATGAAAGAAATAAGAAAAGAAAATAAGAAACAGAGATACACAAAGTAAAAAGTAATATTACGCTATCTTTTACAAGAGAGAGGTTCTATACAGCTGTCAGTCTTATCTCTTTTAATTGACAGAAGGGGTTGTATTTATATCTATTCTATTACATATTTTGACATATCTAATATATTAATTATGTTAACTATCTTAACTATATTAACTATATCTACTATATTAATTATATTAGACATATTAGCTATATTAAACATATTAGACATATTAAATATATTTGACATTATCGATATTTGTACTTCACTACATAATTGTAGATCTATGATCATTAAGATCAATATCCAGTCACATAACACAATCACTAACTCAATCATAAATATTAATTATAAATTCTAATTAGGTTTAAAATTTATGATTAAAATGCTAATTGATTAAATATGAACTGGTCTATCTTTTTTTTTCATTTTCTAAGTAACAACCTTTAATTAATATATTATTAACTATCAAACATATTTAACTAACAGAATGTAAATCTAATTGGATATGAGATTATATTGATATTAATATTAGTGATAATAGATACAGATATTGTCAAGTTCTAATAGAAAAGAATGACAAAAAAACTATTTATAAAAATCAGTTAGACTTTTCAATTTAATAACTAATATTAGAAATCATCTAAATAGAATTTATTGAATTTATATTATTAATAATTTTAAAAAAGATATAACTAATCAAACTCAATAAAGTTTAGAAACTTGTAAATTATACAAGTCTAATGATAAACTATATCAATATCTCATTGCTAAGTTATTAAAATGGATAGTTAATAATTTACAGCCTTTTAATATTATTAATACTTTAACATTTATTAAATTATATAAAGTATTAGATAATCATTTTCTTGTATTATGTATTAGTACAATAAAGAAAAAACTAAGTGAATGTTTTATATTTGTAGAAGAACATTTATCTTATATTCAATAAAAACTTATAGTTTTATAGTTGATCTTTGAACACAATTTCATAGAACATAAATTAGAGTAATAATCCATTAGTTAAAATCTGATTTTGAACTTTGCTAAGGGAATTTAATAATTGAGAAATTTTCTTATAGACATTTTGGTAATAGAATTATAGAATTTTTTCATAATTTATTTTAAAAATAGAATTTAATTAATAAGATAATTGCAGGAGTTAATGATAATGCAAAGAATATGATAATCACATTACAATAATTTAATTATCAACATATTAATTGCTATGCTAATACTCTTCAACTTGCAGTAAATAGTAGACTCAAAAAATGTCATACACTTATTAATAAGTCAAAACACTTAATAATGTACTTATTTATTGAGATAAATATCAAGAAACTTTTCAACATGTCCAACAATTAATTATGAATAATAATATGCAATCAGATTCAAAAATTCTTGAGCCAATTTATGATATTACAAACAAGTTGAAATTCAACCTATATTATATTATAGTGTCTTATTTTTCTTAAAAAATACTATATACTTATTAATAGTAATTCTTAAAAATAATTTGATTTATATAGTTTGAAATGATAGAATTAAATTTGTAAGCTTTATTATTAGATAATAATAAATGGTTTGCATACAAGATTTATTAAATTTATTAAAACCCTTTATTCAAATTATGGATATTATTAGTAAAAGTTAATATCCAATATTAAGTATGATATACCTGACATTAATCAAACTTAAAAACCATCTTATTAATTTTAATATTCATACTAATCAAATAGTACTAACAGTAATTTAAGTGAGTGATTATATTGAGCAACAAATAACAACCCATTAATAAAATATTTTGCAATTAAGCTTTTTTGCTTTATATTTTGATCCTCATTTTAAAAATATGAAGTTTATAAATAATAAATAAAAAGCAGCAATTTTAATGGAAATACAGCAAATAATAGAAACTTTAAATAATTTATTAAATACAACATATGTAAAGAATAGCAAAAATAATTTTTTGATGATATTTATAATAAGGTTTCTTCTATACAAAATGAGATGCAAGTATATGCTACAATATTACAAATTTTAACACATCCTCTTAACAATCCTTTATATCTTAATAAAAATCCACTTAAATGGTAGAAATTACATGAAAAATATTGCTTTTACATGCAAAGTAAGCCTGAAAATATCTTGCAATTTCTGCTTCATCTGTTCCTTCTGAAAATTATTTTCAGATGCTGGTAATTTGATTATAAAAAAATATAATTGATGGACCCTAATTATGTCTATGATATTCTTTTTTTAAAATATAATTCAAACTTTTTAATATTTACCCAAATCTTGAAAATTAAATATTATTATTATAAAATAGTATTGTACTAGTCCATTAAAATATTGTTTAACCAAATTAATAAAATATATATAGGTTAGTTTTTAGTTGACTAGGTCAATCAATCTGAATCAGTTAAACAAATCTTATAATCTATAATATTAGTTATAAAGATAAGACACTTACCACCTTCGCTTAAGCATGATATGAAAGACTTTTCCCTATTTTTTGTCATAGTTTATGGAATTGAAATTTGAATTCATTTTATGAAGGTACAGTAAAATTTTCAATATTCTTAGCGAAATGATCAGTAATCACTAAATTTATTATTTATTCTGTAAATATTATATGCTTAGATTATTGAGCGAAAACTTTATCCTATTACAATATTACATAATTTGTAATGCAATAAATTAAATCATAATTCTAAGAAATGTTACTACTATAAAAATCTGAATTCACTACCTAAGTTTATTTTGATCTTGAATATTTTTAACAAAATAGTCAGAATTAGTACAAAATGAGGAAAAGAAATTTTTGCAAATGTGATCATTATATAAAAAATCAGTTACAATTTGTAACGCTAATCAGAAAATAATTTAATTTTTCTAATGTATAATTACACATTAAAAAATAAAGCCAGAATAAAATTTATTAATAAAGTATTTGAGAGCTAAAAAATTATAAAACTTCAATTTTATTATTGAGTATATGTTTTATATTACAAATATATATTACAAGGAGGCAGGCTCTTTATCTTTAAGCTTTGACCTTTTTTTAGACTTAGACTTTGAATCATCTGTTACTGGTGATTCAACTTCTGACTCTAATTTTTGCACAACTGCAGATGAATCTGACTCAACTATAAATAAAATTTCTGATGATAATTTGAATTTAAAACTTTGCATAAATGTTTCTTATTTATACTAATATCAATTTTTTTAAAACTTATTGCTGAATATTCTTGATTTCAGCATTCTGTCTTTTTACTTTTTGAAAGCTCTTACTGTTCATATCCTTTATTATGATATTTTAATACTTATAGGTGTCATATATATTATTAAGTATCATAAAAACTAAATTAATTAAGATTTTCCTTCTATAGACTGACATATTTTCAACTATATTAACTAGTTCAACTTGTTTGATTAGATAATTGTTGGATACCATAATTTAAAAATTATATCTGATATGTAAATAAATCTGCTGCATCAAAATTTGATATCTTAGAAAAGATAATTATCTTATCACTTTCCTTTGTAATTCGAATATTATTAACTGTTGGCAATTTATCTATGAAAAATTTCATATGTCTGAAAATATCTATTGGCTTAAGGTTTTCTAGCAGTTTTCTCATATCAAATTGATCATTACTAGATCGAAAAAGGTAGATTACATATATCTTAAACATAATCTCTCTAATATTAAGATAGTTTCTTATCATTTGAATCCTCTCCAAAAGTAAGCTCTATGACTATTTTTCTAGTATTTTCTCGATCTCATTATATATATAATGAGAAGTCCATTGAAGATTATAATTATTATAAGGATCTGGTTATCAGTGAATAAAGCGACTGCTATATTGAATAAAATAGGCATTTTCAGTAATATAAGTTATAAGATCGTTAAAGTTTTTAACTTGTAAAAAAGCAAATTTGATGCATTCAAAAGCTAACTTTATGATTATCTCTTTTCCTTTAGGTGTTTTTGAATTTAAATTATATTTCAATGAGATTTCAACTTTTCAGAAAACATATTTTGACACACTATCTATTTTATCATAAAGAGCTAATATTATATTTTCAGGCATATTTGAGAAAACATATTTTTGGCAAAATAATAACTCTTTTAGTAACTAAGATAATATGTAAAATATCCTGTACAAAATCCTTTTTGAATTCTTGAAATTTATTTTTAACTACATCTTTTAGTGATAAAGTAACCACTATTTTCATCAGAATTAATTTAGAAGATAAAATACTGTCTACTAGGTATCACGTTTCAGAGAATTAGAAGCAATTTGAAAAATTTCATAAAGACTGAAACTGAGGTTAAGATCCTTAAAATAGTAGAAGTCTTCACTTTAAACTAGCTGAAAAATAATAGTGACATTCTCAGATTCACACAAAAGTTAGATTAAGAAATAAATCAAAAAGCATGATTTACTAATACCTGAAGTACTGGTGACAAGAAACTTGTGATCAGAACCCTTAGATGCTTGATTGATCATTAGATAGTAAAGATTCTTGTATGATTCTCTCACATATATTGCTGGTTTCTTAGTTACTGCAAAAGATTTATCTAGAGAGTATTTAATAATATTGCATAGATTAACTTCATCCTCTTTTATAATTATTTCTTTAAGTGCATTTTCAATACTGATTGAAATAGATATTGATGTAATAACCTCTTTTTTACTATTTTGTAAATATTTGACTAAATCACAAATATTACTAAATTCTGCCTCTGATAAAAAAGGAATAATAATTGAGTTATAACTTATAAGAATCTGATGACTTATTCTACATTCTTGTATTAATAAAATTTACCTATAGTTTTTTCTTTCTTGGATTTTCTTGATTCAACAGAAGGTGAAAGTGACCATTTTTCTTGCACATGTCAGATGAAAGTGAAAAAAATAAATTGCAAAATATAAAATAAACACATTATCACAATGCCAAGATAATGACTATTAATAAATTAAGCCAAAACGCGTTCTTTCATATTAACTAATTTATTATAACTCACTTATTAGCATTGGGTTACTTTATGATAATATGAACGTATTTTTTTAGCAATAAGAAGCAGGAAAGAAAAGCATAAAAATAAGTATTCAGTATTATTGACAAATATGACAGATAGGTAGAGAAAAAGAAATAATGAGATCAAGCATATTATTTTATATTTCAATTAAAAATCTATAAGAAAACATACTAGGTATAAAGATTAGGAATCTCAAAAATTCAAGCTTTATTTTATTTGTTGTATAGTCAGAAAGAAAAGTCAATGCATCATTCTATCATTTTTCATTTCTAATAAAATATTTTCTTAAAGCATCTTTTTTCTCTTTAATAAAATCAAGATCTTTAATTAGTATTCTAAGAGTTTGTATATCAGACATTTTTTCAGTTTGGATAAGTTCAGAAAGAGAAATTTGCTAAAACTGAAAAAAATCTGAAATATATATGTTGTGTATCAAATTACAATAAACCATTGATTTTTCTTTTAAAAAATTACTTTTTTTTTTACATTTACGTGAAATTTCACTTTTAAAATAAGTTTTTTCAAGATCTTCTTACAAGTAGATACAAATATACAACTTTAACAATAAAAATATATGTAATTTTATGAGAGAAAATATTTTCTTGAGTTGTAAAGTATATTATTTAGTTAGATTTTATGTAAAATACAAAAGTCGATTTTTTAAATAAAAAAATGAACTTTTATATTATAAAAATTTATGGTGAGAAGTTTTTAATATTTAATATAATTTAGCTGAAATAATAACTTTTATTAAAGATAAGTAATTTATATTCTTCTTTAAATTACACTATTGAGCTAAAAAAACAATATTAATAAAACATTAAAAAAATATATAAAAATAAGAAAGATTATTAAATAATAAAAAAATAAGATATTTTACTAATTTAAAATTATATATTATAGATTATTTAATATTTTATATTAAGAGTAAATTTATTCATTACAAGCATAATATTATTACCTCCTTTTTGTTACTTGTATCACACCTCTCCCTTTTTTATTTTTCATATATATTCTGAAAACAGAAAATTTTTCATATATGAAACCTTATTTGTCACATTTGTAAGTGTCATATAACTTAGAATTAGGTAAGAGTTAGGGTTAGAATTAGGGTAAGGTATATACTGTATATAAAGATGATATATAAGTAGTATTACCATCATAATGAATAAATTTATTCTTATATTAATATTCTATTCTAATAAAAATAAAATATCTGTAAAAAAAAAATTTTCATTTAGTATTATTTTTTTAAATAAAAGAAAAAGTTTAAAATAAAATTATCATTAAAATTAAATACTTCTTGTTACAATAGCGGTCATAAGTATCCAACTGCCTCTAACTCTAGCTACAAATAAGTAAATTCAAAAAATTTTTTTTTATTTAAAAAATACATAACCAACTAACTAAAATTAATATATTGTGTAGTCATCATTTGACTCAATAAGTACAGTTGTACGCCTTTTCATGCTAGCTACTAAATTCATAGCAAATATAGGTAATAATCAGTTTTATTCTTTTGTAAGTTTCCTCTTTAACCCTCTAATTGATCAAATTTTTTTTTTGTATATTAATTTTCATTAACCTTTAAACATTTTTTATAGGAGTTTGATCTAAAGATATTGATGGTCAAGAAAGTACCTCAATGCTATTTTCTTCCTTTCATTTTTTTTGCGATTTTTTATTGATGCTTTAGATCATTATTTTCTTATAAGATCTAATTTATGTTACCTTCATCAAAAAGTTTAGAGGTGGAAGCTAGAAGACCCTGCTTATAAATAGTACACATAAATTCAACATTAAGGTTCCTTTAAAAGCAAAATAGTTTACCAAATCCAGAAGCAGAAAAACATTCCTAAACATGAACTTTTGATAAATGCTTAACAGAACGAAACATTTTTTCTACTAGGAAACTGCCAAATCTTTTTTTTGATGTATATAATTGAAATGTACTTTCATCTGTAAAAAATAACTGAATCTAATCAAAATTCTTATATTTTTTTGCCCATTGCAACCTTTTCTTTTAATAGTCTTCTTTAAGCAAAGGTTTAGAAATTTCATTATTAAACTTTTTTTCAAACTTACAAAAATATTGCCTTACTGTTTTTATACTAAGCCCAACATCTATTTCTTCTATTTTTTCTTGTATTTGAATGGCTATTATATTATGTTCTTTCTTTGCCATCTTTACAATCTTATCATCTTATTTTGTAAATGTTATACAAAGCTGTCTCAGTCTTTCTGAAATACTTAGGTCCTGATTTTTATAATATCTTTTAACACAATAAATAGATGTAAACTTACTACAACATACCTGTTTAGCAATAAATTTAAAACTAAACTTTAGACTAGCTGGGTGCTTACATAAAAAGACAATTTCATATCATTTCTCTAAAGAAAATTCCATTTTTCAAGCAAAAGTTTGATGATCATCTAAATTTTTTTTTTGTA